CACCCCCCGCCATATTGTCCCGCCTTAACAGCTGTTAAAATCTGGCCACCTTACCATACACCAGTGTGATCCTAACAGATAGCAATCTCAAGCCCTGAGCTCAACTGATCTTTCCACCTCAGCATCCCTAGTAACTAGGACTATAGACAGGTACGTGGCACTATGCCCAGCCTGTTTTATTTTCAAGGATTGATATTTCAGGTTTATATTCCTAGTGATCTTCCAAAGAACAAAAAGAAAATGTGTTTTTCTTTAAACAGAAAAAATCCAATCCTTGCTGCAATTCCTGTGAGCCCATCGGACCAGCTTATTAAAGACACACTGTTGGATCTTAGCATTCTTACTTTTCCTCCACCTGGAAATATTTTGCTCATCATCACCCATCAATTATTTCCAATGATGCTTTTAAAAAGCTAAAGTAATAAGAAAACGGAAGAACAATTAAATCACCTAGAAGTATAATGCAACAGTAAAATAAAAGGGCACCTTCAGTTTGTTTACTACATTGCACCAAGTATTGAATAATCTTTCAAGAACAGGAAACCCGAGGGAGAGGGATGGAGGGGGTTTGGCGTATCCTTTGTGCGGGGGCTATAACCACAAGATGAAATCTACCTAACAAGATCAAAAATAAAATAAATGAAACTACAATGAGACACCATCCTTAAAAAAAGAGAAGACTCGGCGCCCATAGCACAGTGGTTATGGCGCCAGCCACATACACCGAGACTGATGGGTTCGAACCCAGCCTGGGCCAACTAAACAACAATGACAACTATAACAAAAATAATAGCTGGGTGTTGTGGTGGGCGCCTGTAGTCCCAGCTACTTGGGAGGCTGAGGCAAGAGAATTGTTTAAGCCCAAGAGTTTGAGGTTGCTGTGAGCTGTGATGCCATGGTACTCTACTCAGGGCAACACAGTGAGACTCAGTCTCAAAAAAAAAGAGAGAGAGAGAAAGAGAGAAAAGACTGGAGTGGTTTTTGTTGTCTTTAAGTTTGTATTGAGCACATCTGAAAAAAATCAGTTTTTATTTTCTACCCTTGGGAGCAAAGACAAGAAAACTGACAAAAGACATTTCACTACTATTAGACGAATTAGAAGATAAATGCAGAAAGCTAAACAGCAGCAAATCTAGACTGCTTTTGGTAAAAGTCCTCATTCTCAAACTGAGTCATTAGATGATAAGTCCACAGATGAATAATCTCAAGTTTAAGAAACAATGAGATAGGGATGGAAGAGAAGAAGGATTTAAAAAAAAAAAAGAGGGAACAAGATGGAAACAAGGCATTCTCATCTGGTCGTCAACAGGAGGGACTTGGCAGAGTATCTGGTGATGAAAGTCTTTACCCCTCTCACTTTGCTAAAAGGATACATGACAGTGTTTTTTTTTCTCTCTTTTTTTTTTTTTTTTTTTTTGAGACAGAGTTCTCACTCTGATACCCTGGGCAGAGTACTGTGGCATCAGTGTAGCTCACAGCAACCCTCTAACTCCTGTGTTCAAGCAATCTTCCTGTTTTAGCCTCCCAAGTAGCCTGCACTACAGGTGCCTGCCATAACACCTGGCTAATTTTTTTATTTCTAGTAGAGACAAGGTCTTGCTTTTGCCCAGGTTGGTCTCAAATTCCTAAGCTCAAGGCATCCTCCTGCCTCGGCCTCCCAGAGTGCTCAGCCGCTTCTTTTTGAGGTGTGCTTGCCAAACTAACTTGATAGAAGTCTGCTATCTTAAATTCTTGGTTAAATTTCGAACAAAGCTGTTTTTCACTATTGCTTAATTCTTACTTATATAAATTATTCATAAAACGACTTAATATAGAGTCCAATAAATTCAGGTGGGAAATAGTAGTAACTATAGGTTGAGTGTCCCACATCCAAAAATCCATAATCCAAAATGCTCCAAAATCTAAAACTTTGTGAGCACAGCATAACACTCAAAGGAAATGCTCACTGGAGCATTTAAGATTTTGGACTTTTCCATGTGGGATGCTCAACCAGCATAATGAAAATATTCCAAAATCAAAAAAAATCTGAAATTTGAAAACACTTTCTGGACTGGACCCAACCATTTGGGATAAGGGATACTCACCTGCACACAGTTAAAGCAAATGAAAAGAACCCAAAAGACAATGTTGCCAGGCAAAATGGCTCGTGCCTGTAATCCCAGCACTCAGGGAGGTGAGACCAGCCTGAGCAAGAGTGAACTGGAGTCTCTAAAAACTAGCTGGACATTGTGACAGGTGCCTACAGTGCCAGCTACATCCACAGGGATGACAATCACTTGAGCCCAGGAATATGAGGTTGCTGTGAGCTATGATGCCACAGCATGCTGCCTAGGGTGACCAAGTCAAACTCTAGTCTCAAAAGAAAAAGCGCACACACACACTGCTGAAGGAACTTAAAAAAGACACAAACAAATGGAAAGACTGTGTTCATGAACTAGAAAACTTAATATTGTTAAGATGTCAATACCACTGCAAGCAAGCTACAAATTCAGTGTGATTCCAATCAAAAATCCTGATGGCATTTTTTGCAGAAATGGAAAAAAAATCTATCCAAAAATTCAATGGAATCTAAATGGACCCAAAATAGCCAAAACAGTCTTGAAAAAGAACAAAGTTGAAAATCTCACACTTGATTTCAAAACGTATTACAAAGCTACATTAATCAAACCATTGTAGTCCTGACAAAAAGACAGATACATAAACCAATAGAACAGAATAAAAGCCTAGACATAAACCTTCACATATATGGTCAAAGGATTTTCAAAGGTGCCAAGTTCACTCAATAGAGAAAGGACAGTCTCTTCAACAAATGGTGCTGAGATAAAGTAACACATACTATCTTGAGTAGATTTAAAAAGAATGGTTCTGGGAAAACTGCATATCCATGTGCAAAAGAATGAGATTAAACCCTTATCTTACACTATATATAAAAATTAACTCTGTTAATTTGGGTGTTAAAGACCTAAACAGGCTCAGCGCCTGTGGCTCAAGTGGCTAAGGCGCCAGTCACATATACCTAAGGTGGCAGGTTCGAATCCAGCCCGGGCTCGCCAAACAACAATGACGGCTGCAACCAAAAAAAAAAAAAAAATAGCTGGGCGTTGT